GTCAGAAGGGTCGACGTCACTGAATAGGTCATTACCCCCCGCTCTAATTGAGTAGCTCGATGCTTCCATAAGAGTGTAAACTCAGGCATCTGATAAGCGCCGCCCGCTCTGAGAGCGCCGATGCTCCAGACTTCACGGGGTGTTTGATTACACGTTAATGACGCTCTAACACTCCGGTACACGCTAAATGTTGGAACAGTTGTCAAGCTCTGTTCATAGTTTATAACTCATACAGTCTTAAACAAGTTTATTAGATGCTAAATAGTTAAGTGTTAATATTTACCGTCTAATTGGTTGATGTTTGGAATAAAACACGCATACCTAAACTCTTTAGGAGTATTTATTTGAGTCGTATTTTTTTTATATAATATCAAAAGTGCTAGCGGTTTTAAAAAAAAAACCTTCTGCTTGAGGGACAAAGACAGGAGATGGTCGAATATAAGGCGATTTAAATTGTATTGTCAGAAACAACTACAATGAAATCGTAATAATTTGTGTTCTACCAGTAAAAGAATATGTTCACTAAATATACTATTAGAACTCCATATAAAACTATGTAAGCTTCACTATTCGTTGTCATAAATTTCTGCATTAAATGAATAAACATATACATTAATCGAACCCTTTTAGACGAGAACTATCCATTACATATGTGTAGGAACTTAAGAGAACCTCAGCTGCCGGGCCGCGCTGTAATGAACCCGCACGGGCGGTCTTCTGTTTGAGTTTCACTTCGCCAACTTCCACAGAGACCCGAGCAATCAACCGAGTGAGAAGTAACGTGTCAACTTACCATGACAAATTTGCCCGTAGAATTCCACTGCCGTGACACATGCATTGCTGAATGTCTACAACTCTCTCATTGTTTTTGATAAAAACGGATAATATATTAATAGTTTTTCAATCACTTCAGATATTCTGTATAGTTTATAAATCAAAGTTGGATAGTGAGTAAGCAGTGTGGGTACAAAGTAGTATCGCCGTGTTGGATCAGCAGCAAAATAAAAAGAGTCACGACCCCGTATGTGTACGATTGCGATTGAACAACTCGCTAAAAAAGCGAGCGGCACTCCCTATTAAACGTGTTTTGTACACTAGCGTATCTATACTAATATTACAAAGAGGAAATATTTGATCATTTGTTTGCTTGCATCCGAAAAGACCGAAGCGATTTGAAAAATTTCTTGCACTGTTGGAAAGCTACACTATCCCTTATTACACGGACTATGTTTGTTAATCGATATTCTTTAATTTCGTCTTGCACTCGACAGGAACAAATATTTGAACATTCAAGAGTGAAGAGACACTGGAAGAAGAGGAAAGACGTAGTCACGGGCAACTACTATAGTAGATAATTTTGATGTCAAGATAAAGGACAGCGCTAAGTCGTAAGTTTGCTATTACGAACACCAATTAAATCGTTGGCGCACAGGATGCGAGCTGGAAGAAGGTATAGAAGTTGTGTTTAAATGCGTTAATTTATCTTTTTAATATAATTATATGAAAGCACTGTATTCAAACAAATTTTATAAAAGCCGTTTTACTAAATATTTAATTATTAAAGTATACAATTTAGAAAGTATTTGGCGGACAAGATCGCAAACGTTGAGATAACGAAACTGTATTAAACATGGCTCGAGTTAATTAAACGGCAGCTTGCTTACTTAATTTCAATAAAATCAGCGCTCGAACAAGAAAAATAATTGGAGGTAGCATCCTCAAGTTTCGGTAATTAAGCGCCTTGGGGAATATTAAAGTTGCCTTCTAATTAAAAACGTATTTGCTAACGATATCGCGCTGCCGCATATTCGTAAGTAACTCTTGTTAACTGGAATGCAACAATATGTATGTATATAGCATAATGAAAATTATTAAAAATCACGTAATACAAAACCAGTGGAAAATTTTTATTATATTTTTTATGTCATAAAGCGAACTATGACCGACCTTCATATATGTATACTGTTAGGTAGAAAATCCGACACTGTGACGGTGTATCGGCGTAACACAAGCCTTATTAAATCATATCAACGTTTATTTCCCTTCACTAATCAATCTGACACTTGACTTGGTAACGAAAGCGCGCCATTCGCGAAAAAGGATTCTGACTAATAATTTCTAAAAATACTCCCTAATGGAAACCGGAGTACGAAAAGAAAACCTCGATTCTTGGTTTGATTATTCCAGGGCCAAGAATAATGAAACCCCAATTTATCCGCAGAGCAGATTCTAAGCTACGTTAGACAATATTATAAATGCTTCGTACCAAAATTTTTAAAATTCCCTAGTTTTATAGTGATGTGAACCGAGAGAGGCGGAAGCTTGCGAGCCGTGATAAGGGAATTAGTCGCGCCGACTGCGAATTACGCTTTTTATGTTACGACAACGCTTTAACGCTTGTCAGACATACCTATTTAGAGCATGCAGGCACGTGCCGCGGTTTTCACTTTTTTACCCAAAGCTGTCGTAATCATAACTGTTGTAAATCGTTCCGGAGGCTTAATTATAAACGTCTTTACCTTCCAGGCCTTTTCTTATAAGCAAACGATGGGAAGGGGAAGTGGATTTAACGGAGAATGGGACGCGTAGAAGGAGGAAATATTCTCTTTCTATGCGCCTCCGTCGAATTAATGCAAGCAACGGATCTGTAATGATGGATGCCTATGGGAATTCAGGTGGATGCTTGCTCGTTTGCCATCTTATATTTTAGAAAAAAAATCCCTAAATTGGAAGGTGAAGATGCATTTCATATTTAGCGCAACATTTCTTTTAGATAGTGCTTTATAATATTACAGGTAATCTTATATCTTCAGGTTTTCATGGCTATTATAAAGAATGAACTATGTATTAGTCGCATATGTTATTGGATTACCTCCAAATCCTTATGCATACGGCCTCTAGGCATAAGTTTGCTTGGTTCGTTATGTTCAGAATTCCCTTCCCTCCATAAATCTTCGTCTTGCTTTCTTCATTTATTATCTATACGTTCTCGAACCATTGATACCCTTTTCATGATTTATAAATTAATGTTAATAAAAGAAATAAAACAGTGGATTAAATTACTTTAAATTGTCCTATCAAAGTAATAACCATTTAAAAATTTCTATAACAAATATAAATCTTTGTAAAACTAACAATTAAAACCGCATTAGCATAAGTAAACGTTTGAGTACAATTAAATCTGAACGATATTTAACTCGGCGATTAGCGCCGCCGCGCGACCACAAAGCGAACCTAAACACTAACTGTGGTAATGAGAATATATAGAATTTGGAATATTTCTTTCTACTTGGGCTATTTTCCTAAATAATATTTTAAACCATTAGTCAGGTTCGACTTCGTCAGCACTGTTGAAAAAAGTAACCAAATCTCTTCAACATCGATCAGACATACAGGCAGATAGTAAAAAAATAAATTAAAATTAGTTTTTTGTTTTCATAATGCAAATACATAAAAGAAATTCCAATTTATAATGTGAGTATTAGTATATAAAACGGAAAGAACTGCGGTAATCCTTTCCGAAACCATACAATTTCTTAGTACCAAAAAATTTCGTCGTCTTTGTTCTTTCTAACAAAACTTCAAGACTTACGGCTTCCAGTACCAAGTTTGGGTATGAATCGATAGATGCTATTGTAAAATCAGAAGTTTACCAATTTCAAGAAATGCATTGTTCTACGGCAAGACGCCAATAAAATAATTTTGACGTCAATTTTTAAATGAGATGTATTCATTAGAAATTTATATTTACGTAACTTAAGCCTGAATTTATTTTATATTCTACGCAATACAATGAATGTACTATACTCATATTACTTAATTATCATTTATTTTAATCCCCATTGCAATACTTCACTTTATCTGACAATTTTCACAAGTACTGAAAAAGTGAATGACTGAATGAATTTGACGTTCTCCTGTTTATTTATTTAGCGTTGGATCGAAACAAGATATACGCGGAATTGTAAATTCAATTAGTCGCCGAGTCGCGGGCCCACCGCGGCCGTTTGGAGCGCATAGGGATGTAAACTATTGTCGAAAAAGTCGTAAAACAAACGAAAAGGAAGTAACCTCAAGCGAATATAGTGCACGAAAAAAGAACGAGAAATATATCCACGTGAACAATTACACACACGAATAATATCACACGCAAATGAAACTACACTGATATAATAGCGCACACGAACGAAACGCGAATTTATATTCTTTATACGTTTTAAACGTATTTAATTGTTGTCTCTACTTTTTCGAAGGGAATGCAATTGATTATCGACATGTTTTTATACAGGTGTGTCAACAATGGAAACCCATCCTTATAAATGTGTATTTGATTAGGATATCCCTAATAATGTAAACATTAAATAAAAAGGCACATAACAATTTTGTTTTTATAGAATCGTAGTATACACATCCGGTTTGTAAGCTTCCGAAAGCTCGCGTCGCCAGCGGAGCGGGATAACGGAGTTACGGCAGCGCGCCGTGGCGTGGAATAAAGCTTTGTGTTTTGCTGCTCACGATACTGGCTAAGCCAAAATATCAATATTTCTGCATATAACATTACATTTCTCAAAAACGTACATTTGTTAAGACGCGAAAGAAATGGGAAAGATAATATATAAGGAAACTAACTAAAGATAGGCATCCAAATACTTTTTTATCGAGCAGTGCGAACACCGAAGCGATCATCTACGTCCTTGAGGATTAGAGACATTTGAGTTGACATTCGAGAACCTGTAGATGCGATGCCGGCTTTTAAACAAAAGGTATGCTCGCTTCTCGAAGGATAAAGGAAACAATAAAATAGGACAAAATGGAAAACTGACTTGACTAAGAAACAAATTACTTAGTAAATCGGTAACATTTTGTAAATGTGTATGTCACATTGATAGTTCTACTGCCGGCTAGTTCGAATACACAAGTACAACTCAGGTGCAAAAGATACTTTTGACTAACAATTTGTTAAAGTACGGAAAAGTAAGTAATACTGTGAGTGTACTCACCTTTGAAGGAGGCCATCGTGCTTCCTCCTCATCTATTGGATTGCGCTGCGAGTGGCGGGTGTAGCGTTGCGCGTGACGCGTGACGCGTGGCCCCCACAACGTACGCCCGCAGGACCGGCCAGCACCTGTACACAAGTCATGGATTATTCAACTAAAATTTATTTCTACAAATTAGTAAACCGGTTCGCAGTTCAGCTCAATTAGTACCTGCATAGAGTTATGATTTACGTTTCGAGATGCGAACTGCGCATAGGCACCTCGTATATCGCGATAAGCTGTGAGCCAAATTAGCTTGCTGAGCTGCAACTCAACGGTTCAAGTTTATGTGAGCTGAACTTTTGAACCGGTTCAGCGCTAATTTACACACGTCTAATCAAAACCTTAAAGTTGTAGCACGACGAGAGAAGCGCCGGATGATACCACAACCACAACATCTCATTGAACCAACATTAATTGAAATCGTAGAAAGGATAAGAGTCTCTTTTGCGACTCAGTTGTTGCCTATATCCTTCCTTTGTTCAAATAATATTATATGCAAAATTTAGACATGTACATTATCTTAATTCAATTGAAACAAATAGTATCGCAAGTTCTGCCTTCCATTTATTTGTTAACCTCCCATCTGCTGGAGTTCATTCATCACTATCATGACGTCAGCAAAGTGACTGAAGCGCGTCATTTTGCTCGACGGCTGATGTATTATGTGCTCTTGTCAGATGCGCGCAAACAATTTTAATAGTCTATGCTAGCTATGTTGTTCCTAGTATTTTGGTATAATAGCTTCTGAGTTTAAATACAAATTGACTAAATCTAATTGGCATGATGTTGATCTGATTATGGACCTGAAAGGTTGCCGTAAAATCTTCGTAATTAAACGATACCGCATCTTGTTTGGGTTCGTTTGAATAGTATTAAAAGTTTTTCTTTAATTTTAAGTTTTCTTTACTTATGTACAATCAACGAATTAAATTTATTTCTCACTTAGTAAGGAATTTGTATAATTTACATTCTGTTTAATATAATGCAATACTATTATACAGAAATATAACAACAGTTTCCAGAAAAAATACTTGATTTAAATTATTCTTTCACAAACACAATCTGTATTGAGGTAACAGTAAATAGATATTCAGTAAAAAACCCACATTTGACAGTAGCAGCCGGCCGCGTCTCGCTGCGGCGCGGCGCGGCGGCTGGCGATTTAATTTCCTGTCTCTACCTTTTCATGTACGAATTCTAGATATATCTGACAATGTACGTTTTGTGTACTTTTGTGTCATGTTATTTCTTTTTAAATAAATGGAAGTTAAATAAATTTATCTTTGTGTTTTTAAAAGTGTACATTTAAAATTATAAATGGAATTTTGTATAACATGAAAATTCTTATGTTTTATTTTTATAAAATGTATTTCTGGTTATAATTGGAACCTTTCATCAGGGATTTGCAATTTGTCCGCTTAACATATCAATCGGACAAATTGCAAATATTCGAAGAACCGGATTAAGTGAAAAATAATAATAAAAGGTTTTATAAAAAGCAGTAAAGCACTGCGTTAATAAACACTGTAAAGTGACAATTAACATCGTAATTTACTCAGAAAGCCTACTAAGCATTTAACTTGCTATTAACTTTATTTTTAATTAAACAAAGCACCGTGTCACAGTACTTAATTAAAACTTTAATTAAGTTGTTTTTCATTTGTTTACCTGTTCCTATGAATTATAGGAAAAGTTTTTGGTTTTAAAGTGTTCTTACAAAACATCTACAGGCAAAAATTTTTACAAACTATCGAGAAACGTTACAATATTTTGATCTAATTTATCTGTCAGTAATAACTCAATAATTCTGTCAGATGTTGAGTGAGTAGTATGCGATAGATACTGAAATCCATTACCAAAATCGTGTCGAACGGTTTGCTGCTAGATTGAAATTTGTAAAGGCATCTACATACCATCACTATAGAACCTTGTGGATAGTAAACATTTTAGTGTGTAAGAAAAGTAAAATATATGAAATATGTAAAAACTGCCACTGAAACAGAGAACAGTAAGCTTTGACAAGTTAAAAGGTAGGATGTTCGAACTCAAAGATGTTTCACAAACGCCATCGATGTACGATAAAATCTCGTTTATGTCGTTATTTGCAAAAGCGGTGAAAAGCTCGAAAGGAAGTTCCGAAGCTTATATAACTTATTACGAACTTTATCAAATATTACAAGCATCCTCAAAAGAAGAATCTTTATTACGTTAAGAAATTATAAGACATTGCTACCACAAAGCTTTGGAAGAGTAACGAGCGCTCGCTTCCTAAAACTTTACCACTAACGAGTCAAAACGTCTGCACGAGTACATAAAAAAAAGATAAATTCGTGATATAAATATTAAGACTACATTATTATAATAAAGATTTTAGAAGTTTATACAGGATGATCCAATTTACTGCCAAATAAACTGACAACTTTCTGGATCTATAGATGTGCATAAATGTTTGCTTTACATAAATCTAAGTTATTTCTAAGCTAAAAAAAATATGAAGTAAGTTACAACATTTGTTTGTGAAGGAAAATTTTGATTTATTAACGACGCAAGCCTTCATTTTATTTAATAGGTGCTAAGTAAAATAGTATAAATCAAAAAGCTTATTAAAATTGTTTACTCACTTCATAAATGTTATAAAATGACTAAGGCTCCATAACGGACTTGAAATGATTTTTCTTTTTAAAATTAAATTAGGTCGACAGGTTGGTATTTAATTAACACAAGCCTTTGTCTAATCCAATTTATGTTACTTGATGTCTTTCAACTTATTCGACGAATTTTGCTTACATTAAAATCTTTGTAAAAGATCTTCTCAAATCTGGTCCTTTGAATGTTAAATTTATAGGGCATCGTAAAAATCGTTTTTCACGTAGTTTTTTTTTTAAAGAAATATTATGTGTTCAAACCAAGATAGTTAATATTTAAATTTTATTAAGACAACAGATTTACGTACTAACAAATTTAAAAGAAAAAATTTATATATCTTACTAATATTATAAATGCGAATGTTTAGATGTATGTTTGTTTGAAGGTATCTCCGAAACGGCGCAACGGATCTTGATGAAATTTGACGCAGCAAACAAATTTATCTTACTTTAATGTCATTATTCAACATATTAAAACTTTAAGTTACACATAATAAGTATAAATTAGTTATACACATTGAGATTCAGTAGATAACAAAAAGCGATGAAAGCTTTCGAGTTGTTGGCACAAATCCAACTTAGCGGACACAACTGTCGCGCACAGAATCTTATAAAAAGGTGAGATAAAGATATATCATCTCAACATTTAAAAATATTATCATAATTAATTTATGTTACACCTATTGAACCAAATATAAATGTTAAATTCACAACAATACATTAAAAATCGATGGGACCAATTGAGTAGGAATTAATTCGAGTGAAAAAATAAATTAAAGTTTTTTTTTACAAAGTTCTTAATTTTTTACTGTTTTAGAAAAGATACTAGAGTAACTAAATTTATGTCGGGTAACTGAGCAGATGTCCATATCTCTTGATAAATCAGTTATAATGAAAGTTGCAAGACGATGACAGAACAAAGTTTGGGCAAATTGGGATTTCAGCTTCAACTCACTTTTATTGCTTTTTATATCAAGTAGATTAAAAAGCTATGTGAAAACCAACCCTATAATGATCTTTAGGAATTTTCAAAGAGCTATGTAAGCAGAATGTTTTATTTATTTTTTTGATTTAACTAAAATACGGTATAATTTTCATAAAATATTATGTTGTTTGTACAGTCAGCATTAAATTGTACAAATCCGATTACTAACAGGAAAGTGATGCTGAATGTTAAAGAAAAAGCGACTTGATTTTGTATGGTTTTTTTATAAAGTTTGTTAGATTGGCAACAAAGTGCTACGGCCAGAAATGGATTCAAAAACGAATTTTACTATCATGTAGAGAACTTTAATTTCATTTAAAATTTTAAAACAAATCAAAATAGTTCTTTGTAACTTTTGTTAGACGATTACACTGAAGGTAAGAAAGTGATTTTACTGACAGATAAATCCGTTTATTTATTGTCAAATTAAATCAGAGATATGGGAATTAAATCCATGTCCAGATGTCAGTTCTGCGTGACCTACTTCTGAAGACTGCGTACCCTTGAATAGTTCGTCTTACTCTCTCTTGAGAGGTTAAAGTAAGACAGCGTATGACATTTGACAGATGTAGGATTTAAATGTTCCAAGGTGTTCTTTGAAGGAGATTAGGATGTTATAACATTTATTTTCTTTGCTGTTTTATGATCATAATAAATTTATTAATTGGACGTAAGACAACTATTTAAAGCTCTTAGAGCCCATGATACCCGTATTAGCTTTGGGTTTATATCAAAGCAACAATTATAAACCAAAAGTTTTTATTGTGGATATCACATGTATGTGATTTTTTGTATCCTTCTCACATAAAAAAAAAATTTTAAAAAGTTTTAAACACATTTAAAAAAATAATATTTGCTTACACTTTCATGTAAGTATAAAGATAAATGTAAAATCATAAAAAGATTGCTTACTTTAAAAGCCCAATTAGAGGTTAATTTAAATATTTTGGAGGCCAGTAATTAATTAATATAATCAATTTATCTCGAGTCTCGTAACTAAGCAGGAATTATTATAAAATGTTGTGAGGTAATTAAACAAATATATTAATTCTTTGAATTACGAAAATTATTTTAATGTTAATTATTATTCTACATAAAAATAATGTTTATGATTTTTTTTATCAAAGATTTTTCATAGGAATCCGGTTAACTTAGCTAAGTTTGCTAAGTTTAACAACAATCATCAAATAAAACAACTAAATAATAGATAAGAAAATGTAATGAAAATTATTTAAAGTATGTAAACTTAATTAATTTGAAAGCCTCGCGTATACAAAATAAAATTATATAACAAACATAATATTTCATATTAAATGATTCATATATAAAAAGATCCTTTTTGTTTTTAGTGCAATAATTTTTTGAACAATAATTGAGCACTTGAGATTCATATCTTTTAAATATTACATCAAGTAAT